TCAAATGTTTACCATTTTTATTTATAAATGAAAATCGAGGTGTTCCGGTAGTTAAAGGGTGGAAAAGTTGGTTTTATATAAAAAAAAATAAGAATAAATAATTTTATGAGACACACATGAAAAAGTTGATTTGTTGAAACTATTAAGTTTTACTACCTACTGCAACAAAATAGACGCTAAAGCATTTTGAAGAGTGAGTGAAATAGTTTTTACCTACTAAATCAAATTTTGCAAACGTGTTTCATAAAATTAATTATTTACTACTTTTTAAATGCAAAACTAACTTTCCACGTCATAGCTTTCGAAACTCTTCAAAAACTGGTGATATTTTATATTAAAACTATAAAATTTAAAAGTAGGTAGTGATTTGTTTTGTTTATAACAGAGGGAACGCAAACAGAAAAAGTTATATTCGGAAGACTGGGCTCTTGGAGACGAAGACATCGAAGGACGTCGTCTGTTTTCCCTCCAAGAAAAATTGGAAGATCCGCGATTTACTCAGCACAATTTTGTCAAAGAAATGCATGGTAGCGAATTAACAGTGGCATATTTTCAAAAGTACGGTTTTAATACACCCCTTCTCTTCAAAGACAAAACAGGACTAGGTAATATCATCTTATTTATTTATATTTCTTAAGCCAAATCTATCTTTCCATGTATAAAATTATAGTTTCGCCAATATAATCTAATTGAATTTAATATTCTATGACAGGATGATTGTATTTTTATTTTTAAATTATTACAAACGAACTGATTCGCATTTCGAGAGCTATCAAATGCATTTTTAAGTATTCAACTTTTTAAAACGTGTCGGAATCGACCGCATGTGGTAATCAAAATTCATTTCTAGAAAACACTGAGAATTTTCATTATGCTTTCCTGTAAACTTTTGATAAGATACGGTATTCACACGAGCCATATCGTAAAGATAATGTAAAACTATTGAACAGTTAGGGAATATGTTGATTGTTCCAGGACTTCGCGTTCCGACGACGAATTTTACAGTGAACGACGTCAGAATGTGCGTCGGTTCGCGTCGCGTGCTCGACGTCATGGACGTGATGACCCAAAAGAATTCGGAAATGACCATGAAAGAGTGGCAAAAGTATTACGAAAGTTCGGAAAAGGATAAGTTACTTAATGTGATTTCACTCGAATTTTCTCATACGAAACTTGAAAATTACGTACAATCGCCTACCGTTGTGAGGTAAGTGATACCTTAAATGTAAGCATTCACGAAACTGCCAGTAGTAGTATTTATTCGATTATTCTATTTATTTTCGGCTAATTTCTCGGCCAATCTAGGCAACATGGGTAGACAAGGTGTATGTAGGGTTGCATATCCTCGATTAAAATTATGTACTAATTTTATTCTATTAAAACTACATGAAAACGATGTTTATCTCCCAACGGTACTTTCTAGAGTAGATGTTCTGAAACTTTTCTGGACTACTGCTCCCCTTAGTATCGACTACTTAATTTTATATGAAATATTAAAATGTTGAATATTACCATTGCATACCTAGTACATTTGTTCATTTACGAAAATAGGAAGGTCTGGGACAAAATGGGGTACTTAGATATGGATAAATATTCTTAAACTCAAATATATACCTTGCATCTCCTTATTTCTAATTGTGTATAAAAATGAATCGGTTATTATGAAATGAAGGAACCCTTCCTGACTACTTTAACGTTCTATCGGCCAATAGGAGCGGCGGAGCTCCCCCCCTCGTCGATAAATAAACGTTAAAACNTGATTTTAAATTTGTTTTTCGAAAATGGAAAGGGTCATTCCTACAATCTTGGCGACTGTCCTGCTGTAGAGCCGATGCAAGATTTTGATATGAATCGAGTAAGTTTTTAATTAACGTTATTTATATTGTAATAAATGAGAACCATTCAATTATTGAAAATTTGATTGTAATATTTATATGTATGAGTACTTGAAGACTATACTACGTACATAAAAGGTAAATAAAATACACACGATATGATATTTCACAAATGCAAACTTGTAAGAAGTATTTTACTTATTATCAGAAAGAAATGTTTTTGACCTCTTGTATGAGAAAAATATCATTTTTTCGTAAATGAGCATTGATGATGCGTAGATAACTTTATTAATAAGAAAAATTAAAGTAAATAAGTGATGAGAGATACCTCATTGGGAACAAGTATATAAGTAGGTACATATAAAATTGAACATTCATAATTGGAATTACTAATTACGACTGATAATGATAATTGAACAAATGCGTTTCATTAATCGTTCATAAGGTTCATTTACTGGTCATGAAAGTTAAGTGACCGATGCTGCGATGTGCACAATTCTAAAATAGACAGAGCCGGACTAGGGTGCACAAATCAAAATACTTATATACATATAAAACTCGTAACCACAGTAATGTATTAGACTGACATTGAAAGTAAATAAATAGTTGAAACTCAAGTATTAATGTTATAGCCTTGAAAAAGGGAGAATAAAATAACAGTCACTTTTTCGCTGCCCTCGCTGTATTATTCCAAAGATATAACTTTTTTTAGTAAGTACGTTATCTAGAATAAGTAAAACACTTCTTTCTTCTATTCACCATAATAATTATTATTATAATGGTAGTTCGCTCTTTTATACGTATTATTTTTACCTTACACAGTCTTACACTTATTTTTAAATTTATTGGAAGAGATGCCAAAGCTTCTCTTGAATCTAATAAGACATGCAATAAAAATATTTTAAAGATTGCAAATCACTTACTTTTTGTCCAAGGACGGCATCTGAAATAAAAACGAAAACAAAAAAAAATTAAAAGTGTATCACATATGTAGAATAAATTACACATTATTACTGTTGTACCTGATAATAATATATAACTATTATTTTATTTTTCTAAACTGTATTAATTAAAAACGGCAATTATTTTATTTCAGATGTTAGGAATATGGTATGCAGTGCAAAAAACTTCGACCGCAAGTAGTTGTGTAATATATAATTTTACAAGAACAAACGAACCATACGAGTACGATCTTGAACAGTATTCGCAACACTTTGCTATAGGATTAACACCATTGAAACACGAGTACAAATACACGGGGAAATTACATGTGCCCGATAAGGCAGTTCCTGCAAAAATGTTTGCCAAATTTCCTCTCAGTAAGCGAGCGCAATCATTTTAATATGTATATTAAAATCAAACTTCAAAGAAAGGGCTGAAATTAGCATTTTTAATCAGGGCAAAAATTAGACCAGAAATCTATAGAAATTCATTTTCGTAGATAAATTAATAATCATAAGAAATTCGCAGATTCTATTTTAAATAAGTAATATGTAGTTGTAGATAACTAGGTGTATTATATGTACATAATAAGCACTCTAAAGTAAAAATTTTTAAATAATATTTTCAAGTTCAGACAGATAGAACACTTTTTTCGTTAATATAAATCAATTAGGAACAAATGGAAATTTACATTGTCATTATTTTTGTTCTTCCAAAATGCATTTAAAGTGTAGGGTAGTTTTTCGATGTTTTCAATTGTTAGATCTGTCTGTACGTTATTTATTTTGCTTTAACTTATGTATAGTTAGACATTTATGAAGATCTAAAACTGCCAAATTCAGCCCAGAATTAATGATTTTTTTAATATTAATTTTGATGACTGTTAGATTTTCTCGGAAGCGCCAGCTATGTCGTTTTTGCCACCGATTACGACACTTTTGCCGGTATATTTACATGCCAAAAACTCGCCTTTGCGCGCAGAGAATCCGCCACCATTCTATCAAGAAGACGTACATTAGACAAAATGTACATCGACAAGGTAAATAAAATGAAACGCTCCATTTTGGGACACCCTATGTATATGTGTACGCAACCGACTAATTTGCTTACAAGTCAAATAAAATGTACAAACAATCAGAAACATAAATATAATTTAAAATCAAAACAGTTTTCGAAACTGTCCTGACGACCAGCACGAGATCAGTTCTCGACGTGTACAATATCTTTTTACTTTTCACTTGTCTTAACGGCAACTTGTTATAATAAATATTTTTATCTGTGACACAATACTGCACCTTTCAAATAATGTAGGTTTCATTCTTATCCTTTTGTAATAAATACTTCAAAAGTGTACCAGATGTTTCGACGATCATATTTATGTTAATAAAGAAGTCACAATTAGCAGAAAATTTCTACAGTTTGCGTTCACTACACGGTGTTCTGTCGAAACTGTCTACGGCGTGCTGATGAGATAAAAAAAGCGAAATCGCGATTGACGGTTTCGACCGGTTATTGATTAAGAACTTTTGCTATAATGACGATATTTCAGATTCGTTCAAAATTGTCAAGTTATGGTGTAGATCCTTTCGAATTATCTCCGATTTCTCAAGAAAACTGCCCCAAGAATCTCACAGAAGGTGTCAATATTAACATCGATGATGACACATTTTCAGCGCATTCGATAGCCAACACTTTCAGAAAAGCAGGAGAAAAAATCGGCGACGGTTTCGAATACGTGGCCAACGGAGCTAAGAAGGTTTTCGGCAAAGGGTCCAACAATTCAGGAGAGAAAGAAGATTTTATAAACCAGAATGTTCAAAATTACCCTATGACTCCCAACCCACATGCTGAATGGTTACCATAATAATTTATTCATTATAAATAAAATTAAATTGAGTGTAATATATAACAACAATTGTGTACGTAACGTTTTTTTTTTTCAATGATGTAGTAGACGATACGTTAACGATGAGATAGAACTTTACTAATTATAGAGGCGTAGAGAGACTCAAGTGTCTGTACCAATTTTATTCAATAAACTATAGTTTTCAGATACTTTTTCAACCAGTTCTTACAATGCACGCAACCCCGTCCTTATGGTTGTATTGTATCTATATTTAATTGGTGGAAATCCGGAAAGTTTTGTTTATTGAACTGCTGGTTTTCATTTGTTCCCCATTTTTTCTTCTTCTAATGAAGTGTATAATCAAGGCAAAATAGGGTAACCCTATTAGGATTTGATTATATACTTCACTTATATAGTAGCAGTAGAGATACTTACTGTTAACTAATTGGAAGTTAGTGCATTTGACAAAGCAATTATTGGAGGTAGGTAGATACCGCACGTCGGTCGTCATAATCCAAATTATATTTTATACGTATATTATAACACTTTATATTTACACGATAAATACACGACTGCTCATTATCGGCCGAATCAAACGAAACCTATTGTACATTTCTATTTCTTTCCAAAAAAAGTTATCTGCTTACAACACCTTGTATACATAAAATAAACAAAAATTGAAACTGACAGCTGCCAAAACTTTTTGACATTTCTTGTGCATTGTTGCAATTGGTTTATTTTAACAATGCTTGCAACAATCAGTGACCTTCGCATCAAAGACGGAGTCGAAAAAGGTTGGAACGCTCTACTACTACAGTCGCAGCCTGTTTCTTTCTCACATCCTAATGTGGCATAATGCCGCATCATGACGTATGTCGTAGATAGATGCAATCCACTCTTACTTCACAAGTTCGAAATCGTGCCAGTTGCGCTATCGCAGGCGCTTGGTGAACTTGTCATTCATGCAATTTCGTCCTCGGAAAAAATTACGAAAATCGGGAGGATTGGTAAAAAAACGGGAAAAAATGACAGAATTTTCGTCTCCAGGCAGGCGATCGTCCGTAAGACAACTGGTAGGTGTAAAACTGTACGTTTTCATGTAGAAAAAGATTTAATAGTCGCCATAACGTGAAATTCGTCCAGCACGTAAACAGATGCAGCATCGACACAGCTGCTGCTATTATTATGGACAATTTACCTGTTATGCTGTTTGTTGATAATTAAACAACATAACATAATAAATGAGTTACTTTTCGACGCGAGATACGACAAAACCTTATCAGCTCTTTTCTATAGTGTACTTAACAGGTAAATTAGTCATTATTACATAAAAAATTGCAGATTAGTATAATTACTCTAATAACAAAAGGCAAACAAATATTCGTTGATTGTTATTAATTAGTGTTAATTAGATGGAGGTGCAACACCTATTTACATACTTATAGCTTATTTTCGGGTGCGTTTTGAAAATATATCAAGGTATTAACATAGATTACAAACAAAGCTATAAAACTAACTAAAAGCTATGGAATTGATGGTTTCAAATAGGTAACGTCTATATAATGTTTAAAGTAAAAACCTATGCACCTCTTTTGTACAAATTTTAGATTAAATTTGTTAGTAAACACGGAATAATACAAACAATGCAGTGACCCAAAAACTGTTATAAAATTTACTAAAAGTTTATATAAAACATAATACTTAGGTAGGTATAGGAGTATAGGTATTGTAAAATTGGTCAATGGCAAGGTAGAAATTTCAATTTTTTATTGTTTTAATACTAATAACAATCTCGATTGTTAAAAAACTGATTCCATAGATATGTCGAGATTAATAGAAAGATTAAAAGCGATTTTTTATAAAATAGTGGAACAATTTTTCAGTAAAGCTATTGAAATATGTAGTGGTAAATAGGTAATAACGTAATTTTAAAAGTACATACTGGCAATTTATTCTTTTCTTTGGAAACACCAAAAGATGCATTTTTTTTAAATGTGTTTTAATTAAACAGTCGCTGCTTTTAACGTAACGACACTCCCCGTCAGCCACTCTGAACGCAACTAACGTGAACTCGTAAACATTTGTGTAGAATTTCCTGAAAATAATTAAACATGTGTTGGGGGCCGGTGATCACGCTTGCGCATTAGGGCTGCATTGAGGTGTGTTTCTGTTGTTTGCGCATGCGTTGCCGTCTTCTAGGAGAACGGTAATTGCTGGTTTGCCGTTTACTATTGTAAGCAGCAGTTGTGAAAATGGCGCATAGGAGTAAAAAGCTCTCTTCTTTGGTAGACCGAGAAAAATACGTCTCTCGTATGGTAGGTGTACTTCGTAAATGCCACATTGAGTACTAATAGTGGATTGAAACGTTCGGAATAAACAAAAAAATATTTTTTAACCTACTCGAGATTATCGAAAGGCCGAGTTGGTATCGATTTATTTGGTTTTGTAGTAGCAAAAGAAGGTGATCCTGATCACCTACGATTACGAATTTGTGTCAATTTTTTATAAGACAATCCGCAAAAGTGTCATCTTTTTAATTTATTGTGATTTGTGTTGTAAGTT